GACGAATCAACTGTTTTAAACACTGTACACTAACAGATTTAAGCCTTAGCTGGATACTTTACTTCACTTAGAGCTGTGTTACACACTACATGGAGGGGAATTTTCAAAAACCCATAATATGGGCTCTTTAAACAATGTTAGAAATTAGATAGTTGACTACAGCCATTTAATGTGGAGATCAACTTTTGCCATCGACTGTTTGGTTATCAACGTCTTGAATCATATTTTATTTTCAGCATAAAGAATTTTTAGGTCCTGTGAAGTTCTATCCCATGTTTGACGTAATCTCAGCATGAAGAGAAGGTGGGACATGGAGTAGCTCCTCCCCCCTTAAAAAATGGCCAATAGTGTTTAGTTTATATCACAGCACTGCCAGTGAGAGTGGCTAAACTCAAGCACATTGGATGAGAAGCTTCTTGAAGGGGTGGGGCATGTCAGATACTAGAGAGCATTCGATTGGTCAAGATTTGATAAGAAATTGAAGTATGTGATAAAAGTTGTTGATTCATTTATGCAGAAGTGACAACTGCAAGCGTTAGATCTGTTTATGTCAGATTTACATCTTCTAAACCTGGGGTGCCCAAACCTTTTTGTATGAAGGGCCAAAAACCAAATATCATCGAGAGCTGCAGGCTGAATATGTAAGTATATTTCATTAAAGTTGCCTAGGGTAATTTCCTAATTGATTTAATAATATTTCAAAATAAATAGAAAACATTAATTTTGAATGGTGTTAACTAATGCAGTTTAACTTTAAATGATCACTTGTTGCAATAAAAACAATCACATTTAAAAACACAGTGACGTTTAATGCTGAATACACTGGTCAAGCAGAACTGGCCTTTGACTTGATTTGCTTAACAAACATGATCTGATTCATTAACACCATTTAATTAAAACTTTTAATTTCAGTTAGCTTTTAGCAATAAAACAAACAAGGCTATCATTAAATTTGAATTGACAATCTTGAACCCATCACTGTCATTCTCCCTCTCTTACATGAGATGGCAGGCCAAATGCAACAGACTCATTCTGAAAACAGCCCTACATACATTTCTGGAGATGGTGAATTGTGTAGCCAGAGCTACGTATGTCTGCATTTTGTCTTTAAAACAAACACTACATGGTGGAATGACGCCATTTCTTTCCTCGTTTATCAGCTGAGCGCTTACCTGCATGTGGACGGCTTTTCCGATGTTTACCAGTTTGTCCGGTAGCTTGACACAACTGCAGACTTGAGACGCATAGCACAGAGTTGACCACAACAACAGGGTTCAAGTCCAGTAAAGAACAGTTCCAAAAAGTGGGTAAGACAAAAACAGAAGCCAAAAAAAATAAATAAATAAACAAGTAAATAACAGGGTGAGAATGTGGTCAAATCTAAAAAGGTGGTAAAATCAGACGAGGGCTTTTTATTTTTTTTTTCTGGTTTGCTTTTCAAAACCCTACGGTTGGGCTACGTTTAGGGAGGTAGGTGGGCACTGGTCATTCAGGGCTTTTAAAACACTGTTGGATGGGTTTAGGGAAGGAGGGTGGGTGGGATCGGTCTGGAGGTCAGTCGACAGCGGTCTCTGGTGGACTATGTGAGCACATCAGGCGCGAATGGCACTAGCAAAAGAAATTAGAGATCTGAAAAAGCATACACATCGGCTTCTGGCTGATTTGCAAAAAAACGTCACTCCTGGGATGTATTTTGCGCTCTCCAGAAATGTATACAGACGAACACAATCAGAATGAGCCTGGGTTGACCAATTCAAAGGTTTCCATGGGTCAACTTTGGCCCACGGGCCCTAGTTTGGGCATTTCTGTTCTAAACACAAAGTTTGTCTCTTTTTTGTGACTACCTTATACATTGACTAATATGCGCACTAGCTTATAGATATCCTAAAATATAACTGTGCTATCTAAACGTATATATTTAATGTCAGTGGACCTTTAAGTTCGGAACAAACGCATTAGATTAATAATGATCATATTTGTATGACAATTGACAATGAACACTCATTTGTTTCCAGAGCTTTTATTTCTGGAGCTTTTTACACCAAGTAATAAAGTACAACAAAAATACAAAATAATGAAAAAGAAAAGCAATACAATCATATGTACAGATTTTAGAAACAATAGAGATATCTGAATAATTCTGTCATTAAATGTTATGATTGTCTGTATATATGGATTTACATTTATAGGATTTGTTGGGGGGGTTTTCTTATTCACAAGTTTTACCATTGCCTTCCTCTCCGTGGTTCAATGTAAAAACCTCTATTGAATATATATATATATTTCAAAATTTCTAAATTAAATACATAAAACATACGCACATCCACTTTACCAAACTCTTCTCAATATATTTAAGATGTAAAATGTTTACTTTTATAGGTCAAAGCAACCTGTACATTCTGCAATTCGACTTAATCCATTTTAATATGCAAAACACTTTGGGGGTAAAATGTCTGTCAATTCACGGTATCGTTTTTAAAGTACTAATACAGAAGAATAAAAGCATTTTAAGGTATGAAAATAAAAACAAATGATATGAGCACCAAGTACTACATTTGTTGATGTATGCTGAACATTTCTGAGCAACAACAACAAAAAAAAGTAGTGCTTTCTAATCATTCATGAATAATGGCATTCATTTGAATCAACATCAGTAATCACAGCTCAAACATGCTTAATGGAGATGCACAGAACTCTCTCAACTCAACTCATAATTGCAAACGCAGTGCATTCAATGGAAAATTGACTCTTCACATTACTAATAGCAGCCGTTAAGAATCAAGAATCGAATTAAACTAATGATGAATGAATAGGTTTACATCGGAGTGTTCATAAAACACATCGCTCAAATAAAAACTAAAGAAAGGCTGTGATATTTTAGCAAGCAACCATAATCAGCATGCATTTGACGTCTGTCACTGCAGTAAACGAAGGTGAAAATAAGCTATGAATATTGTAAGACTTTCAACAATCTGTACATATCTACATCTTATTGCTATAAACACTATTTTTCACATTTTTGCTTTTCCCTAATTACAAAATCAGGGATTTTAGTATACAAACGAACAAAGTAATTGTTTTGAAATGCAAAATAGCAGGAAGGACTCGAGCTCGGAGGCAGTATCGGTTTTGATACAGTGCGTCAAGCTGATTGTTTTTTTTTTGGCATGTAATATTAATCAGCTTGAAATATGTCAAAGGATCAACAAGAGTCCCGTCTGCTTCATGCATACAATACACAACAGAAGAGGTCAAGAGTGATTAACAATTAGCTCAATTAACATTCAGGTGTTCTCTGTACCCCTGGCAGCTACAAAATATACATAATGCATAGCTGAAAAATTAACACTGGTTCAAATGGTACTAAAGTTGAGCACCAGCAAAAGTTACGCTTGGTAAAAATGACCTTTGTTAAGGGTATAAATTTACACTCAAAAGGGAAATCATAAATGTTCTGCACACTCATGGACTAATATTTATACACAATTCAGACTAATACTGTCAAATGCATATGACAGTCTCATAAATGTCACATGAAGCATTTGAGTGCCAAATCTTAAACAAACAAAAAAACTTTGCAGACTAAAATATGGAGCTAGAAAATTCTCAAAAATAAAACATTTATGAAGTTCATACATGCACAGCACAATTCACATTTACAAAATACAATTTGTAACCATGAATACAACACACAACTTGTAAATTCACAAGTAAAAATCATAAATAGTTAATTTAATAGTTAATCCAAATAAATTGAAGTTGTGTATATTATGAAATCATGTGTCGAATTTGTGTATTTTTTAATCATCTTTTGAATTTACGAATTGGATTTGTGTATTTTTGTATCGTGATTTAAATTAACAAATCGAATGTGTATTTTTGAATTTACAAATGGAGTTGTGTGCTTTAGAATAGTGATTTGAATCTACGAATGGAATTTGCGTAATTTTGAATCGTTATGGATATCCGAAATGAAGTTGTGTATTATTGAATCGTGTTTTGAATTTATGAATCGGATTTGCGTGTTTTTGAACCGCGTTTTGAATTTTCGAATTGGATTGGTGGATTTTTGAATTGTGTTTTGAAAATACGAAGAGGATTCGTGTATTTTGAATAGTGATTTGAATTTACGAATAGGATTGGTGTAGTATTAACAAATTGAAATTGTGTATTTTTGAATTGTGTTTTGTATTTACAAATTGGAAATTGTGAATTGTGTTGTGAATGCATCAATTATAGTTTTTAAATGTATCATTTTTGAGACTGATCTGGCTCCATATAAAAATGTACATTTTTAACAGTGTGCAGCTGAGAAAGATCAAGTCAATAATGATACTTCAATATAGGCCAAAAAATAGTAACTCATTAAATGTTCCAATTACTACAATAAATTGACTTATTAAAGCTTAGATCTACAAATAACCCGAACACTAACCATTTACAAGACTTTTTTCATAAACACTTGGTTATCTCAACAAAAAAAGAGGGCCAATACACTGGAAACATCTCATAGACTGTAAGTGCTCTTTGTTTAAACATGTCAGTCTTTCACTCTAAAGAAATCACTATTCTCAATTACAAAAGCCAGTTTCCAGATATACAAAATGCTACATTTCCCAAGGGGTAGCCTATCTTGGGCGGTGTAAACACTGAAAAAAAGGTACCATTTTCAGAAACAAAGGTGTTTGTGAAAAATCCTAAAACAACGAAAAATGCAGTTTCAGAGGCAACGACAAAAAAAAAAAAAAAAAAAAAAAAAAAAAACGCTGAAAGATGTAGATGTTGGGATGAGTACAGTAAGAGACCACGGCTCTCTGCTCCAGCATTTAGGTTTAACTGTAGTTCACCGAAGACAAAAAGGATATTAAATATCTGAAGGACCAGAAAAATAAATGGCTATTTAAACTCTTGAGAAATCAAGATTCCTTATTTCTGTACAATAAAGACATCACTGATGTCATATTACAAAAACAAAAAAGACCAAAAAGTATATTCATATATTTATATATAGATATCATTTTTTAATTTAAAAAAGAACTAATAGTCAGTGAGCGGATGAAGGTGAGTCTGGATGTCAGAACTAGAGAGTCAGTCGGACTGAAGTGCAGTGTGTTGGTGGTGTCGAGAATGAGAGCTGATGAAAGCGTTGGCTTCACTCCCGATGCCACTGAAGTCTGTGACCGAAACCGCCATTGTGGCGCCTGTGATGCGATGTGCTCGTCTGCCCTCGAAGTCCACGTCGTTGATGAAGGACTCTGAAAGGCCCATTTTGAGCCTCTTGGAGGGTCGTTCGCAGTCTTTGCTGCTGCACATGCTGAGCTGGCCCAGGTCAGAGCGGTAAAAGCCTGAATCCAGCATGTTGAGGCAGACGCCGTCTCCATTCGTTCCGTAGCTGAGCTGATCGTCATGGTTCAGGGCTGCTCGGTGCAAACTTTCCAGAGGGGGGAAGAACGGAGAGTCCAAACAGCTCATCTCTGCTGGACCGTTGCACACATTCGCTACACTGTTACTAAGAGCTGCAAGAAAAAGAGGAGATCAAAATTACATGAAAACCTACAATTGCCTAGATTTTGATGTCTCTGCTTATGTCTATTTGAAGTTAATACTAACAGAATTAAAAAGCAGTTCTCAAAGCATATTTAATGAGTTTGATATACACTGTTAAAATTCTGGGTTCCACACAATAGATTTGTGTTTGCACAACATGAAGTTAAATAATTAGTATTTTTTTAAATTTAAGTGGATTGAACAAAACAATAAATTTGTCCCCCAAGAACTGTGTTATTTCAGCTCAATTTAAATAAGTGGAACAAACAGCAAATGTCATTTGAGTGTATTCTAATGTACACAGTTTATAAAAAATTTGATATAAAAAAAATTAAGATTTAGGGAACTCTTTGAGACTGCTACCACAGGCATCTCCAGCAGCATGAACCGGGGGCTAGTTCAGAGCTAGTGCTCTTCCTGCTCCAGAACTAGTTAATCTGACAAGCTTTCTAAGGATGGCTTTGCTTTTCATGTGATAGAAAGTCACCATAAAGTCAGGTCTGACATCAATGTCTAATTTGCTTTTCCTAGCAAAGCATATGCAGGATCGCCTAATTCCAGCAATAATTTGCCAAATTCAATAACAATAAAAGATTTGCAAACAATGCTGCGAGTCAAAGAGAATAAAAGTCACTTCCTGAAAAACTGGCACCAAATAACCAAGAAGAAAAATGAAATTGGCTGAGGTATGAGAAGCTGTGCAACCTCAGAAGATGTAATGAAATGAACACGTGGTGATTTGAGGCGTGAGATGCCGTTTGGGAGCAGAGATGCTCGAGATAGTTCTGGAGGCTGTAATTCCAGTTACACTGAACCACTGTTGTGACTGTCGCCCTGCTGGTTTGCCTATTAATGCTATTTTTATCATTACATGATCTCTTATAACAAAATCACATCACATATTTTGATGCGCATGCTGGAATTTATTCAGTAAAAATCTTTTTCATTGCAGTTCATGCACTTTTTTTCAGATTACAAGCAAATACTGTGGTCACTTTTCACAACCTCGCAGTTTTGCAGATTTTTTTTCCGTGTAATTTGACATGCTTTTTTTTCTCTACAGCGCATTGTGTTCCGCGTCCTGATCAGCGCATTGTGTTCCGCGTCCTGATCAGCACATCGTGTTCTGCATCCTGACTGTAGACCAGGGGTCACCAATCCTGGTCCTGGAGGGCCGATGACCATGCAGTGTTTAGCTCCAACTTGCCTCAACACACCTGCCTGGGTGTTACAAGTATACCTAGTAAGATCTTAATTTCCTGGTTCAGGTGTGTTTGATTAGGGTTAGAGCTAAAATCTGCAGGACACCGGCCCTCCAGGAACAAGTTTGATGACCCCTGCTTTAGACCATTGTCAATCAATCTTCTGTACAGTACAAAATGCGTTGAGCTCGCCAAATTTACATTAATCTTTGATTGCCAGCAGTGTGACTCTGAACTGCTGTACTGTGTGTTTGCAAGTTTGCTCCCCACAATGTCAATGAAACATTCTGCACTGTCAAAGGCACCTGCGGTAGCACCCAAAAGGCAGAGGAAGATCACACAAAAACACTTCTGGACATGCTTAAGGAAGGTAGAAGTTACGCGGCTGTATAACAACATTAAGTAGAAAATAAATGAAGATCAAATGGTTTTGCTCTTTGGTTTAATTTTATAATACTGGACTTATTTTTTAACGAAGGTTTGAACTTTGGGAGTGTTAAACACGAGAAAAAAAGTGTGAAAATGTAAATGCCTGTCTGAGAAGTGCTTAGTGAGGGGTTTTACAGCCTTTAAACATCTATAATAATTGTAAAAAAATTAAGCGGACTACTTCGCGGATTTCACCAATTGCAGATTATTTTTAAAATGTAACTTTCGCTAATAACAAGAGACCACTGTACAACAAAAATCTAAACTAATTATAATAATTAATTATAACTAGTTATGATTATAATTATTCAGTCACAGGATGGCACCAAACAGTTAAAAAGAACAGCATATTTCCCTAATTGTGCTCATTTCCTTAATTATCTATCCAACAACTGAACTTACGCAGTTTTCACTGACTTCAAAAGATGGTGAGCTGTTCTACAGTTCTCCTGTTCAGACAGTTGTTACCTGTGAGGTCACTGGCAGTGATAGAGTTGAGCAGTCCGAGCTGTTGCTCTGCCGATGCCTCTAGTCTTCCTCCTGCTCCAGCTGAACACACCGGTGAAGAGCCGTCCACTGCCAGACCCTCAGCCTCGTCTACCAGCCGATCCATCAGGTCCCTGAGGACAAACACACATACACCGTGAACCCAGCACTTTCTCTAAAACACAGAGACCAAAATCATCCCAATACTTACGTCACACCAGGGTAACAGCTGTATTTCTTCTTGCCAAATCGGTTCTGTTGAGCAAAGTAGTCAAAACGTTCTGACTTTTTCCACATGTAGTAAAAAGCCACACATTCTGCTACAGTCCGTGTTTGAACCTGAAATTACAAAAGCAGCAATGACAAATTAGTATTTAGTCACTATATACTGTATTTATTAGCAAAATGAGTTATTGTACAGCTCTGCAAACCCCAAATATTTATGATTTGTGCAAATTATTAATAGAAATAATCACTAGGAATTAGTGATGGGTCAACCTTGAATGTTTCATTTATTTTGAACATATCTTTTATGTGACTCAAGAACGAGGAGTCTTCTAAGGAAGTAATTCCTTCATTCATGCACACATTTGTGCAGGTGGAGGAGAAGATTAGTTTCTTTTTTGAGTTTCGGGTTTGAGTTGTTTGTTCGTCACATGAAAGACAGAAGCCAATCATGCATTTAGAGCTGGAAAAGGTTTGATCCATTAATTTCTTGAGTCATCGGTTTTGAGTCATCTCTTTACATGCTGTACTCATTGATTAAGCTTACATAGAACGAATGACTCTGGTTTGAAGACATGCCAGACGAGGTGATCAGAGTTAATCCTTCAATGTTTACCTGGTGTTTTGTCTGATTATTTTCTCTTAGTGTAGTAGCATTCTAGTTTTAACCTGTTTGTGTAGTGTGATCAACGTTTGGTGTGGTTGTAGATGTGTTGGAAGCATCTCGTAACATTTTAATGTCAATTTGGCAAAATTAACAAAATTACTCGAAAAAAAATTTGTTTCTTTCGATAAACGAGACTCAAAGGTCTGAGTCAGTAAAATGATCCAAACTTCCCATCCTGACTATAAATGTATTTATGAAATTTAATACAATAAAATAATAAAGTACAATATCAAGAACAGCATGACTTTTAAATATAGTGAAGAAAAAAACTTTCTAAAGCACAAATATTCTGATAATGCAGATACTTAGAATATTTACTTAAGTACAAAAATGAAGTAAAAATATTTAGTTACTGTTTATCACAAGCTTTTGAATAATTGTAAAGATATAAAATGAATATATGTATTAATTTAATTACATATCTAGATTGCAGTTTAATATAGCTAATAAAACATTATAGTTTATCAACTAAAGAGTTGAGTGGATAACACAATATACACAACTTGCCTTGTGTTTCTGAATAAGATGGAAGTTTTTCTCATAAATCTGCAGCGCATGTTCGAAGTTCCTACATTCCTCCTCTGACCATGGTGGTGATTCTTCTATCAGAACAGAACAAGTGATTATTTATGGCATTACTGTGTAGAAAAGGTTTTTGCTCCTGTACTGAACAGCTTACCTTTTGAGGTCTTTACATTACTGCAGTATCGAACCAGCGCCTCACGAGTGTCATAATTACATTTCAAAAGCTCAAACAAAGCCTAGAATAGAGACCAGAGAAAGAAAAATGATAATCGTAAAAATATGATTAAACCATAGCAGCCGCTCTTACATGATGAGTGAAGAATTTTCATGTTAGGGAAAGAGACTACAGGTGAATACAGTAAAATAATTCTAAAAAGAAGAATAATAACAACAACAACAATCATAATTTAACTAAATATCTAAATAATAATAGTTATTGCCACACATTTACAGTTGACAAAAAAGGAACAAACGTTTTTGTATTACAAGTCTTTAAAAGGTTATTTTTAAACATGCAAATTAGGCATCATTTACTTAAATATATGCATATTTACACACACTTCTAACAAAAAAATCTAAAGACTGGATCAAATCAGGCTCATAATTCTTGATAAATTTTTGTTTTGACATTGTTTTTACAGAGAGAAATTAGGAAATCTCTTTTCATTAACAGATGAAACATTTACTTAGAACAAAATGTAGTATTTAATCAGGTAGATTATGCATAAACACATACCTCAGCTAAAACTGTATTTTGAATATTTTGTTTTTACTAAACTAAAAAAATAATAATAATCTCAACATTTACAGGAGTATGAACACAGCGTTTTTGTTTGCAGTGTCAGTGACCTTAACTATTAGAATGAATGAGAGCTTCTGAAGAACACAGACCTGCTCGTTGTCTCGTATGTGTTCAGATGTGGAATAATGCGTGCGGTCATCTGTAGACTGTGACAGTGCTTCTCTGAGGTAGTCTTTCACTTTATACTCTGACAGTTCGTCAGGACACCACAGCAGCTGATCTTCCTCCTCGTACACTGCAAACACAATACGCATTCAATTGATGTCACTCATAATGTATTCTAATTGATTTATTAGCAGAGTCAACTTTGAATTCACATTAAGCAACTCACCCTTTTCATCATCATTATAGTGGCTGAGCCCTGCTGGGACTTCTGCTTGATATTGAGATCCCACCATTATTTCCTGTGTTTAAGGAAATGGAATTAATATTAGTTAAATCTAATTATTTTACTTTTGAAAACCATCATTGGGCATGTAGGAACCCCAAATTCTTTTTTTAATTTGACCGTGCTCCATACAAGATTCAAATAAAATTTAGCGATAGAAAGGGACAATTTAATGGGGGAAAAAATCTAAGGAATCTGTTATTTTTCTGTCACAATTTCTTCAATTTATACTGAAATTTTATTTTGACGGGTTGAGTTTCTGTTTGTACATAATGACTCTTTTTATTTTTTCACAAATAAAACTGTAAAATACATTTCTAAATGGTTCAAGGAGCTTCCATTTAAAATAAATGCAGTTGATTTGAACTCCCTTTTAATCAAACAACCCAGCAAAACAGAAACAAAAAGTTTTTTGAGCACAAAATCTGTATATAATAATAATAATTTCCAAACACAGCAACAAAGCAAAAACTTGAGTAATGGCTGCAGTGAATTCTAATGAAACATCTTCAAATAGTTATTAATATTTTCTTATTATTTATTGCATTTTTTTCCTTCACAAAATTACAGAATGGTTTTTGATTTAATAAACACAGCCTTGGCACAAAGCTTGTCACATTGAACAGTATACACTAACAATAATAATAACAACAATAATATAAAACCAACCTTTCTAGAATCTTCACTGTTTACACCGTCCTCCTCCCCCTCAGATTCTTTATCACCGTCATATGTTACATTGGCTGGGGAAAAAAAGGAATCAGAGGATTAAATAAACCTGCACTTTTACAAAAGGACAAAAGATGGTTGGTGGAGGGTGATATTGCATTTTTTATTTGAACACTTTCTATTCACCTTTTTCTTCGCAGACAAATGCGCGCAGCCCTTTGAATCTTTTTGGCTCGAGACTTCTGGTCTCATTCACTTCTAGAGCTGCACAATTAATCGAAAAAAGATCACGATCTTGATTCGACCCCCTAGACCAGGGGTGTCAAACTCAATTCCTGGAGGGCCGAAGCCCTGCACAGTTTAGTTCCAACCCTGCTCCAACACACTTACCTGTAGGTTTCAAACAGGCCTGAAGGACTCAATTAGTTTGATCAGGTGTGTTTAATTAGGGTTGGAACTAAACTGCAGAGCTGCGGCCCTTTTGGAACCGAGTTTGACACCTGTCCCCTAGATGATCTTAATCCAGCATTTCTAGATTCTGACAATCATATTTTCAAGTTCAGGAGAGAAGCAAGGGAGACTGCATGAGTCTTCATTGTTTCACATACATTGCTCAGCGACACGGACACCTCCAAATATTGTCGAAAGAGTAACATACAGTATTAATAAGGTATAATTCAACTAAAAATTTAATTTTTGTCTTTATACAATGCTGTATTTGCAGCCTGGAAATCACACGTGACGTGAGCTGCCGACTGTGAGCTGTTATCACAGAGAGGGAGGGCATGCACTGTACTTAATGATAGACGTGCGCGTGTCTACTTTAGTGAACAGAACCTGCATAGGCTGTGAATAACATAATACAGTTGTAAATAATATTCCGTTTGTGGCACACAGTGATCGTTTGGGAGCCGCGCATGAAGTATGAACAGCACTTAGCAGTGAAAATGAAACCGAAAGCCTGCACACATCACTTAAATAATTATTTGGCATTTTAGAGTTATGACTGAGACAAGCATTTGGTATGTTTTTTCTTTCATAGCGAACACACAGTTGTGCATAAAAGTAAATGTTTACAGAGTCAGTATAACTATTCTAGCCTATATCATGTTGATTTTACTAGTGAATAAAATGGTCTAATAAGTTGTCAATGACAGAATGCAAGCATAGGAGTTTATATCAAGCATAACTTAACATTAGAATTATTATAAGTAGAATATACTTATTTATACAAACCAGTAGACCTGCAAATAATATTATTATTGTTGTTTTACCATATGTTTGAGAAAAAACAATAATAATTGCAGACTCATATTAAGCTTTATTTTACATATACAGAATTGAGAAAATCCTGATCTTTATTTTAAGTTAAAAAAAATAAATAAAACAAAATCGCGATTCTCATTTTGCCCAGAATAGTGCAGCTCTATTCACTTCCATTCATTTTTATGTCAAAAATCACTTGTTCTGCTGCGTGATGTTGCAAACTGATATTTTCCTATTATATTACTCTGCTTTGTCTGTATAGTCATGAGCACACTTGTATGAAGACTGTTTTCTGCAGTTCTTTATTCCCATTCATTTCTCCTATAGGCAACTAAATTGGAAGTTCTAAACCAATCGAAAAAACGAGAGCACTTCCACATTGAAGAATAAGGTCAATAGAGTGTCTTTTAAGTTTAAATAAATAATTTTGAAACTATAAAACACTTTCATTTAAAAAGAAAACAATTTATGATTATGTAAACCCATTAAAACTGTACTAATAGAAGATTATAGTTTTTCTTCTTACATCTTAGAGTTCTGGGGAAGAAATCCGTGGCCTCATGGGAAGTGACAGAAGGGGTCAGATCATCAGCAGACGACTGGGTCTCCTCCTCATAATCTCCTGACAGGAGATCTTTAGCAATCTCCTCCTACAGCAGAAGACCATTAGTGACTTCATCTTAGAACTTCTATTAACATTATTAATGTTTCCATCCACCTATCTCTATGCACATTTGGAGGTATAGCATAAAAAAGCTTAATTAAAATGCCAATGTGCACAAAATTTTTGAAATTGCACATAAAAAAATTCACATAACTGAGTTGGATAAACTTTTCATTGGACAAGAAAAAAATATGCAACTACAATTGATGTTTACAAAATAAACTCCAATATGCACAAAAAAAATAAAAATAATACAGCACTGCTTTACCAGATCATGTGATTACAAAAACTGGCATGTTAAATAATTGTACAGCATTAATAGACAAACTGACCACATTATAAAAAATCTGAAATGTTGTTTTGGTCATTCTAAAATCCTTTACCCAAAGTCTGTTATCAAAAGGGTTTAGTATTCTTACCTCTCCGAACTATCAGGCACAAGTTATTGATTATATATATATATATATATATATATATATATATATATATATATATATATATATATATATATATATATATATATATATATATATATATATATATTAGTGCTGTCAAAATTAGTGCGTTAACGCATGCGATTAATTTTAAGTTATTAATGCGTTAAAAAAAATTAACGCAATTAACGCAGTTGCTGTTTTTTTTTTTTTACTTCCTGTTGTGGTGGACGTCTGTTTAACATGCAAGAAATGTGGATGAGACCAATGAAGCACTTTTTGAAGGCAAGTTTCGGTATAAAACAATTAGCCGCATCACCAGGCTCTCTAAAGTTTTATGCAATTTCGGGTGTTTCATTTTTAACTTTCGACTTCTGTTGGAAGTTGATAACGCATGGCGAACAGAAAAAAAATCCTCTGCATTTCGTGACGGTGTTCCTTTAAGGTAATAAAATCACTGCTGAGGCTACACTGTAGAAGTATAATCTTAATCATATTAAAATCAGAGTATTGGTGTCTTATGTGAATGTTCTCAGAAAGTCTGGTGAAGTCGCGAGCTGTCAAATACAGGGCATTACTCTGCCTTTTAGCATGAGCCCTCCAAGTTTAGCGTGTTTCCTCATTAAACGCAATGAAAGTGTATGCTTCGCGTTGTTGTGTCAGAATCCTTGTGAAATACAGTAATACTTTAGGACGCTTAGTTTAAGCAAATTTGATGAACGTGATCATGCGTGTTGAATCTGAGGGGAGTCGCTCAAGTACGGAAGGCCGTTGGGGCCAAAATGTCTGCAGCGCGTTGTGTGTGTGTGTCTGTGTCAGGCCCGTTGAGGGGTGTCAGGGGTGGAGTGAGCGACGTATCTGAGTAGGGGCGTGTGCGACATAGGCTACCTGAAGAGCTAGGAGGGATGCGGGGGAGAGGGGTTTGCAATGTATTTAACGATCAGTTTGCGAGAAATTATCATTAATTTGCGGGCATTTGGGAGTCTCTGTGCACTTGCGGGATACTCCTAGTCTTAGCAACTGGATGAATGTAAAGGAGGATTAAGCAAAATTGTTTCTACTCTATAACTAATGTTCTCAACTCACAGCAATAAAACTTTACAATAAGTCCAACAGTTTGTACTCTATAGTTTATTATTATAATTTTTCATTTTCCATATCTCCAATTCCTGTATTTTGGCATTTTTTTGCAGTCCACTTAGAATCCAACATGGAAATCAATGTTTTCTTTATTGGCATTGATTGTTTTGAAATTTAAATGTCATTAACATGCCTGTGTTTTAATTTCTTTAATAAATATTTCTTTAATAAAAATATTTAATAAACCATCTTGATGGTTTATTGTGGGTATGTTGTTTACATGAAGAAATCTGTGTTACAAGTTAATCAAAAATTCTATTAAACAATTATATTTTGAATTTTAATTCTAATAAACACTTATATTTTGAATTTAAATAGTTTTTGTCTTGCGTTTACATTAATTTTACATTTGAACAGCCAAAATTACAAATTTCAGTATTTTAAAAGCGATAATTTTTTTAAAATGGTGCAATTAATTAGTTAATTTTTTTTAATCGATTGACAGCACTATATATATAAAAGGCTTCTCCTACCAAAGCATTTTTTCTTTTTAATATTTGGGGCCAGTTTAATAGGAAGTGACTTCTGTTCTTTTTAGACTTGGATGGAATCCATGCTTTATTAACATATTATTTTACATAATAATCCAGTTTTGCATGTAAATTTAATTTGTATCTTTGGATGGAAACAGCTAATGTCCTCTGGCACTATATCAAATTCATAGCAGCTACCTTATCCAGGGTCATGTCAGGCAGATCATCTGCTAGTTCAACAGAGGAACTGTCAATGCTTGATCCTGCACCAGTACTGACTGACGCCTCGTAACGATACATGGCCAACAGCTCATCGATCGGCATGTTCCCCTCCTGATAATGTAAAAAAATAAATAAACAAATAAAAACACACTACAGAAACAGTGACTTTTTTTACAGAGACTGTAATAATACAATTGCACACTAATAAGCCTACACATATTCTAGGAAATAAATAGTGTTGCTTGCGCAGAACTTAATTTGAAAAGCTTTAAGAACTTAACTTCATATATATATATATATATATATATATATATATATATATATATATATATATATATATATATATATATATATATATATATATATACATGGGTACAAATTTATTATTGCATATCAAAAAATATGTGACAATCCATGTTGTTTGTATATATAGCTATAGAATAGTTTTCAGAAAGTATCTTGCTGTCTGCATGAAACTTTAAAATGTTGGCTTGTATTTTTACAAGACTTAAGTTTAGTACAAATTAGCCTTTAGCACCCACAGTATCTTCCCTTTTCAGTTAGATATTGTTTCAGGACACCACACTCAAAATGCATCTTGACTTACAGTAAAAGCGAATGAAAGACAGGGCAAAACTAAAATTGCTTTTTACCCATCAAATATAGTATCAAGTACAAGTTAAGTTAATCTCAAATATATTCAAGTACACAGATAACTGTTAAACATTCATGACTTTTCCAAAACATTTGGGGTTTATTTGTTTTTCTAAAAACTTTTGCAGGCCTGTAAAATGCCTTATCGAAATTTCATGAATTTTCCAGGACCATATGAACCCTGTCTATTAATACTGCCAAAAATAAAAAAATTTGCTGTGTGTATTTGCTTGGCTCCTTTAGACCAGTCATGTTTGTAAATATATGAAATAAATAACCCTCAAACCAAAAGTAGGTTGCGATGAGTACCTGTTAATGAGGCATCCAATGAATCATTCTTTTGTAGGTTAAAAGTGTCTGTCTGCATTACCTCATTTAATTCAAAACTATTTTATTATCAAAACAGAAATATAAAAATTCATCAACTGTGTACCTCACTCAATACAATCTACTAACTGTTGAGTAAAAAAAAAAAAAAATAGTTTGCGATTGGTCTCACATATTAATATATATGATGAAACTTCAATATGACTCCTATTACTTATAAACATAAAAAAAGAAAAGCCATACAAACCTTTTCATGTTTTTTTTTCACCAAAATCAGTTACATTATTTTAGGCCACACAACAACTATTATAATTTTTATATATATATATATATATATATATATATATATATATATATATATATATATATATATATATATATATATATATATATATATAAAAGTTAGTTCTTTAGTAAATCACCATTTAACATAATCTAAATCAAAACATAATACTGCTTAAAATGTGACTTCAAACCTTAGGGACGTAACAAAACATATTCCATCATTTTTGTATTTTCCCCTAATTCATGCTCTTTTAAATGAAGAAACAAATGGATAGCACCACATGCACTTTACCCTTTCCAAGTCGGACAGTTCTGCACTGAAATTTCTCTCTCCTTCTAAAAGCTCTTCCTCTTCCAATGTTCTCTCATCATCATACTCATGAATCAACATCTCAGCGGTTGGATCAAAGTCGTGATCCTCTGAAGACAAAGAGCCAACTAGAGGGAAAAAAATTAAACACTGTTACTGATTGCACACATTTGAGTTCATTCCCGAAAAATAAAAAAAAAAAGTCAAATAAATGATGACTAAATTTAACTTTTAGTTTATATTAGGCATGGGATAACAACCGTTTTCAAGGAATACTGCGGAATATATATATATGAATATATATATATATTTTTTTTTAGGACAACAGTATCTCAAGCAGAAAAGATATCCAAGGATGCGGTTTTAAATTGTAAAGAAATCTGTGTTTTTAAAACTAATGAAGACAGCAGAGGCCAATGATTTATTTTAATTACTTAGCATGACATGTTTACTGTCCCAAAGTATTTTAAATGTTTCTAAAAATAAAATATATTGTTTTCAAAGGGGGAAAAAGGTTTTTTTTTTTTTTTTTACCAGACATTTAAAAAGAACATATTTTAGAGCAGTGATCACAATACCGTGAAAACATGAGGTTTTTATCCAAGGTTATCATACCGTCAGAATCTTATACCGGCCCATGCCTAGTTCATACAACATTTTTTAAAAAGTGTAATTATTTTTTATGAACTTTTAACATGTACTAAAGAAAGCAAAAACAAATCATACAAAATTAGTAAAATAAAAAATAAATAAAAACATTTTCAGCCCTGAAAAATGCCATGTCAAAATTCCATGACTTTTTCAGGTTTTCGATGACCATATGAACCCTGTTAGTTGACATGTAGATGCAATGTAACAAATGGACCATCAAAATAAAGTGTGACCTAACATTTTATTATATGATAGAAAAAACTACATAATAAAAAAATCCTTATTAGTGGATCCATATTTGACAATTATTACTCTTATTTCTCCAAAATAACAGTAATAGTAAAAATAAATAAAACAACAATAATAATAATAAAATTAATAATAATAATAAGCTATTAACACACCACATATATAATAAATATATAATAATAAAACACATTGAAATAATAAACTAAGAAACCTACCAGGGCTCGAACTCCCCAAGGAAGCCTGTGAAGACATTTAAAAAAAAAAAGGTGGGGGAGAGAGAGAGATAGCGAAAGACAAAAACAAATGGGTTAATGCAAGCAAAACACATTGCAGCGCACTCATATACATCATACTAAGCTAAACGAACGTGCACTGAACATGCATTATACGCGCAAACCCGACAATACCCGCGACGGTAACGTACGATGTGAATTCAAGCCTATTTTCTTCTTGTAAAAAACACAATGACGTTTTAAACTTATTAATACAGCGATATCACGTAAAAACGACATAAACCAAATAGCCATCAACTTCACAGCGATGCTGTCATCCTCTCCAAACAGTGCAAAAAACCATACCCCACACACCATAAACAAACCTCTCGCGCACGTTAACAGCCCAAAATTATTCGCTAAATATATTTAAAACACGATTAAGCCTAAAAAACAAAGCAATGCGTCGCGAAAAAGGCGATTATATCGAGTAAAGTATCAATTATAGGCGCCGATATCTTGTTTGTTTTTTTCCTGAGAGCTAACGGAGATGAGATTCAGAGGCCTCCGTCGATCCAGAGAGATCACTCTTCACTCAAATCGTTTTTTCACCGTCAGTTTTGCACAGTTATAGCTAAAAACCTCAGCGTATACACACCAGCATCTACTCTACGGATAAATATCAACGAAAGCCACCATCACTGCACCGAATCGTTAAAGAGATGGGTTTAAAACCGAGTAGTTTTTCCAGCTATCCAGCTTACCTCCGCCATATTGGTGTCTTTGGCCTCATAGGTTGCTGCGCTGCGGTACCCGGATGAAAGCAGGAAGCCAATGGCGGGCGCAGGAATTTTGGCTCGCTTTTCAAACAGGTTTTCAGGAAAAATGGGTTTTAAATTCGAGATGTTAAGTTGCCGTCGTGGGTTTTTGTTTGTTGTGATATTTACACATTCTTCTAGAAGTAAAAGGTGAACTTCTGCAAATCCACTGGATACATTACAAGTTATATATTGTAAATAAAAAGTATAAAAAGTTTTGGTCAAATTACCAGAAACGTACATTTTCATTTATAAAAAGTGTGACAGGGCTTGAATTAAATTAAGCTTGTCGTCCTCAAAAAATAAATAAATAAATAAATAAATAAATAAACAAAAAAAAAATCCTACAAAAACAAGCATGAAATCATACAATTCAATGATGAAACGCATCCTTGATCACTGTCAGCTTTTCTTCCATCAAATAATGTCGCTGTCGAGTCAAATCCTTAAAGGTGTATTGCACGCATTTTATGTTAAGTTTAATGCAAATGTGAAAGGACTGACCAAAATATAGGGACATTGTAAATTTATTTGTAGTATTTTATTTGTAGATTTTTTTTATAATTTCGTTTTAAATTAATTGATGTGAATATTAGCAACCTAAACTTGCTATTTCTAAAGTATTTTTTTAGCATAACAAAACTATTAAAGCCGTAGGTTCAATTGGGCTGAGGACAAGGACTATGACAGGGTTTGTACATTTGTAAAGTGTTTTGTTTTTGTGAACCAAATGAATGATTCCTTTACAGAAAAACTCACAGAAATCAACCATCTATCCGTTTTAGACATTTTCCGGCTGAAATACTTTTTATTTACTGTATTTAGGTTTTTATTTTAGGGAAAGATCATGTATGTTTCTGGTAGAATGTCCTGAAAACAGAATTTATTAGGTTTATGCACCAGCACTAGTTAATAATATTGGAAATAGACCAACAATGGCACATCCACAGTACCTGGCAGTCATCATTGAATATGCTATTCCACTATAGAAGTACAGATTACATTATTAAATTTGTAGTTTAAAAATGCAGCAATTTTACCATCCACTTGCTCCAAAGCTTAATGAGTTTCTGTTAATCCCAATACGAAGAATAATATATTTTCAATATATTTAAAAGGCTATTTTTGTTGTTGATGTTGTCGGCTACTGGTTTCTAACATTTATTTTTTAAATCTTCTTTTGTAGGGCAGCACGGTGGTGCAGTGGGTAGCACTGTCGCCTTAAAGCAAGAAGGTCACTGGTTCGAGTCTTAACTGTGTCAGTTGCCATTTCTGTGTGGAGTTTGCATGTTTGCATGGGTTTCCTCCGGGTCCTGCACAAGTCCAAAGACATGCACTATAGGTGATTTGGGTAGGCTAAATTGTCTATTATATGTGTGTGAATGAGACTGTATGGGTGTTTCCCAGTGATGGGTTGCAGCTGGAAAGACATCTGCTATGTAAAACTTATGCTAGATAAGTTGGCAGTTCATTCCACTGTGGTGACCCCTGATTAATGAAGAAACTAAGCCGAAAAAGAAAATGAATTAATAAATGACCCTTTTTTAACAGAAAAAAGAAACATAAACCTGTAAGAGCATTTGAAAGCAAGTAACCGATGAACAGACTTTCATTTGACATCCCCTTAAAATTGAATGTAATTATTGTGTACATTGATATAAAGAGAGAAATAAAAATTGCATTAAATATTACTTCACACTTTGTTTTCCTGCGATGTGGTGGTGCAGTAGGTAGTGCTGTCGCCTCACAGCAAAAAGGTCGCTGGTTTGAGCCTCAGCTGGGTCAGTTGGCATTTCTGTGTGGAGTACGAATGTTCTCCCCGCATTCGCGTGGGTTTCCTCCGGGTGCTCCGGTTTCCCCCACAGTCCAAAGACGTGGTACAATGGGTAAACTAAATTGTCCGTAGTGTATGAGTGTGAATGAGTGTGTATGGATGTTTCGCAGAGATGGACTGCAGCTGGAAGAGCAGATGCGTAAACACAAGTTCTAGATAAGTTGGCGGTTCGTTCCACTGTGGCGACCCCAGATAAATAAAGGGACTAAGTCAAAAAGAAAATGAATGAATAAATGACCCTTTTTTAACAGAAAAAAGAAACATAAACCTGTAAGAGCATTTGAAAGCAAGTAACCGATGAACAGACTTTCATTTGACATCCCCTTAAAATTGAATGTAATTATTGTGTACATTGATATAAAGAGAGAAATAAAAATTGCATTAAATATTACTTCACACTATAATGGTTGATTATTTTACCAATTTCTTTCGTATTTCACATTATGACACTCAGCCAATATGTTGGGAAAAAGGAATATATTTTAAACATATTTTTTTCTCTTTTTCTTTTCATTAAACAATTGTATTTGTATTGCTTAAAGCTGATAAATTAACTGAACTTCTTCTGTTGAGTGTGATATGCTTTGCATACTAATGAAGCATTTTTTGCAGAAGTTGATGAAGCTGACAGAAATGCAAAGACCTGATTGTCTAGATTGATAGGCCTAAACTTAACTTCAGCTCTGCAGCTAAACTTCCTGTTAGCAGAAATATGTTGAAGCTTATGTTTTAAATGTTGTTCAGAGAATTAATGGAAAAAGAGGACGTATGTATGGGTGCGGCCAATGCAGACGGTGTGTAATAATTATTGCCCAGAACTATAAACATGCTAGCTATGCATTAAGTAGCACAGCTTGCTGTTAATTTACTAATTTTCAGGCCACCCAAGGCATACAGTAGACTTTTTTTATCGGCAGCTAAACATAAAAAAATCTGATTTCTCTTTTATTTAGAATTATGTGAACACAATAAAAAATGCCGTAGACTAACAGCGTATAGAAGTGTGCATAAGAATTGCATGTAATAACCAAAATACAGGTTGTTAAATAATAATATTAATAATAATGCCAGCAACAACAATAGTGACAATAAAAAGGAAAATCTGAAGATTAAATTACAGACATACTAAAACAAATAATAATAATAAATATACATACAAACACACAGACACACACACACACACACACACACACACACACACACACACATATATATATTCAAAATTCAAAACAGCTTTTATTCTAGCCGAAATAAAACAAATAAGACTTTCTCCAGAACAAAAAAATATTATCAGACATACTGTGAAAATTTTGCGAAAACCAAAAAGAAAAAAAAATCGAAAGAGGGCTAATAATAATAGTATGTAACTGTATACACATACATACATACATACATATACAGTAGATTTTTACTTATAAACACACACACACACACATACATACATACATACACATACATACAGTTGAAGTCAGTTATTAGCCCCCCTGATTTAATAGCGCCCCTGTTTATTTTGTTTCCCAATTTCTATTTAACTGAGAACAGATTTTTTCAACACATTTCTAAACATAATAGTTTTAATAACTAATTTCCTGATTTATTATATCTTTGCCATGATGACAGTAAAAAATATTTTACTAGATATTTTTCAAGACACTTTTATACAGCTTAAAGTGACATTTAAAGGCTTAACTAGGTTAATAAGGTAAAAACTAGGTAGGTTGGGGTAATTAGGCAAGTTATTCTATAACGATGGTTTGTTCTGTAGACTATCGAAAAAAATAGCTTAAAGGGGCTAATATTTTTGTCCCAAATATGTTTTTTAAAAAATCAAAAGCTGCTTTTATTCTAGCTAAAATAAAACAAATAAGACTTTCTCCAGAAGAAAAAATATTATCAGACATACTGTGAAAATTTCCTTGCTCTGTTAAAAATCATGTTGAAAATATTTTAAAAAGAGAAAAAAAAAATTAAAAGGGGGCTAATATTCTGACTTCAACTGTACATACACATACATGCATACACATACATATACAGTAGAATTTTACTTGAACCTTTACATTTTTATAAAAAGGTCTATGGCTGTATGTACTTTTTTGTTAGTTTATTGCTAGTTGTTATTATTTAAGCTTCATAAGACGTAGATGTATCATCAAGAAGCATGAATATTATGTTAATTTTGACTCATAGGTCTGCCGATAGAATCACGTTTCCAGCAAAAAAATGTCTACAATTTTATATTTGTAATATCCAAAGATTAAACCTAATTAACAGTAAATATTTGTGGGATAAGGAGCTCTTTAAATAAATATTATTTTAAACTATTTTAATACAGCATGTTTGTAACCTGAAAAACAAATATTTTCTAAAAATATGTTTTTTCATATCAAATAGTTAAGTCTACCAAACTGTTTTTTCTTAATGATATAGCAATGCTTTATAACGGTAACTAGTCATTGCAGTATTAAGCCTGCATTATTCCACAGGATGGCAGTAGTAGCCAACACTACATCTAGCACAATCACTGTTATTTCCATGTGGGATGTGCTGTTCTTTGAGAAGACACGCTTCCTCTTTCCACTTTTCTTCATCCATCTAAGTTGTAGCACTGATTGTTGATGAGTAAAATTATTTGAGAACATTTGTCATCTGTTAAGAAAGGGTGCAGCTTCTGTGTGCTTTTATGTAACTGTTGCGCTGTCTTCAGATCACTGTAATTCATGTCTGCCTGGACTGTTGTCTGTGATTACTCTGACCTTCTGTTCACAGGAACTAGCTCGATATGTTTTTCTGCTCTGCGATGACGTTAGTCCCAGACTGTATTGGTACAAGGTCATGCATATTTAACGCTGAATTATTGTTCAGTTGAGCATGACATTGATTGCTGAAATCACAATCCGCTGAGAATTAAAGCGCCGCTTCCTCTGCAGTGTCAGACCTGGAAATGTGTGTCAGAGGTTTTGGCTTGATGAAAATGAAAATGATTTATTCGTTCAAATTGACTTGCATTCTGGCGTTTACATGGCATGTGACTATATTCATAGAAAGCATATTAGAGAATTTATTTTAATATATTAAATGTGACACTGGATCACAAA